CGGATGGAGCCGACCGCGGGCGGCGAGGAACGGGTCCGCACGGCCACGGGGATAGGGTCCCGGGATCGGGATGGAGCCGACCGTGGGCGGCGGGGTTCGGCGAGGAGCGGGTCCGCACTCACTGCGCGGATCGCGTGGAGCGGGGTCTGGAGTCGGGATGGAGCCGACCGCGGGCGGCGGAGGGCGGGGAGGAGCGGGTCTGCACGGCCCGGGGGGCGCAGGAGTCTTGAGTCAGAGGAACCCCGACCGCCGGCGGCGGTGTCCGCGGGCGGCGGTGTTGGTGGGGAGCGGGGTCCCCGCGGCGGGATGGAACAGCTCGACGGCGGGGGCTGGCGGTTCTGCACCGCCTGCGGGGCTCACGGGGTCTTGGCATCAGGCGGAGCCAACCGCGGGCGGCGGAGGCGGGTCCCTCGCCCCGCGGAGCTAATGCGATCCGGGGCTACTAGGCTCGAGGTGACCCGGAGCGACAGGTGTGGGAGCGGGCCCTCAAGTCCCAAGGGGAATAGAGGTTCCGGTGGAGCCGACTGTGGGCAGGTAGTGTCCGAGCGGAGCTCGGCCGAGTGGCCGAAGAGGTCCGGAAGCTGGAGTGGAGCCGACCGCGGGCGGCGGGCTGGGGCGTGCGCAGCCTCGGCCGGCGTCCGCGCTGAGCTCGCCCCTCGCTGGTCTGCAGGTGCGGCCCGGAGCCATGGTGATCATGTCCGAGTTCAGTGCGGCCCCGGCGGGCGCCGACCAGGGCCAGCAGAAACCCCTCCGCGTGGGCTTTTACGATGTGGAGCGGACGCTGGGCAAAGGCAATTTTGCGGTGGTGAAGCTGGCGCGGCATCGAGTCACCAAAACGCAGGTGCGCAGGGGCGCCGCGGGGAGGCCAGGGAGCCTGACCAGAGACCCCGGGCGGGCGGATTCACCGCCTGCTGGGTTGATTGTCAGTCATTGTTAACGCTCTAGTCTGGTAAAGAGTAAAAGTCCTGTGATACGTTTATCTATAATTTGTACAAATTTTAAAGAATAGCAATGAGAATAATAACCAAACTAAAGACAAAACAAAAAGAAAAACCATGAGCACACAGGGGAGGAGTGGTTCCTGGATTCAGAGCTAAGCTGGCCTCATTCACTTGAGACATTTAACTTTGATTTCTTTAAATATCAGTGGTTCCTTTGGTTCATTTTCCCCAACTTTTTGTGACCTTCTATGATTTATAAAGTGTTTGCAAAATTAACTGGCAAAAAATGAAACTTATAAATGTGGATAAGTGGTTTGTTTTTCTAATATCCTTTTCCTTTTTAAAATACGCAGGTTGCAATAAAAATAATAGATAAAACAAGATTAGATTCGAGCAATTTGGAGAAAATCTACCGTGAAGTCCAGCTCATGAAGCTCTTGAACCACCCCCACATCATCAAGCTTTACCAGGTGAGGTCCCCTGCCTTCCCTTCCCAGGTAGTCCTTGCCAGCCAAAGCCTGGGGCTTCTGAAAGGTGCCCCTTTTCTGGATGTGTGTGGGAGACAGTGAGCTGGTTGTGATTTTTATAAGATATGCAGATGTATTTGCAACTATTTTCTTGCTTTTGGATTATAATTGGAGATTTGTTTCATTAAAATTTTATCTAGTATCAAAACTTTCTCCAGTTTAAATGCATAGAGGTCTGTTGTGTAAGTGGCTTCACTTTGAGAACCACTTCTGTAGTGTTGATGCAGGTCCTGGACTTGGTCCAGAAGGACAAATTTGAGTACAACTAGAAACTTCTACCTTTGCACACGATTATTAAACTTTAAAAGAGCTGTTCGTACCAGTTTTCATGAACTTACCTAGGGCATCAGTGAGCACTCCTCTTCCTGTTTAACTCTTCTTTGCACAGGGAAATTCACAGACACTTGCCACTTGTTACCTGTTAGGAACATGACTTACCTGTGACCATCTTTTGTTTTTTGACTTTATATTTATTCTTCTTATTAAAATTAATACATTAATTATATCTTTGGGAAACAAGTAAATAATTAGGACAGCAAAGCAGTCTCCTTCTTGTACCTCCTGGTGATAATGACCACTTTTGCTAGGATGAAGTCACTTCTGCTTTGCAGAGAAGTGAAGGCTTTGCAGGTAGTCACTACTTCATCTGCTCATGTTGACTGTAAATTCCTCTTAGAGACTCGGGTGGAGCTGTGTGGATCAGGTGATTGTGGGAGACCTGTGTGCACGGCTGGCAGGCTGCATGCGCTGTGGTAGGAGAGTGTGATCTAAGTGCACCCCCACCCTGGCTCCTGGACTTGTGTGGTTGGAGCTTGTGCTTCTCATGCAGGGACAGTTCCCCCGGTGTCTTTAAGCACAGAGCTCAGGGCCGTGTGCTCAGAGCTCCTGTTTCATTTGGTTGTCATGTTTAAATTGTGCTTGGAGATAAGAAGTCTCCTCCAGGGCCACCGATGTTGGTGCCTGGAAAGTGTGCCTCCCCAGCTGCTGTGGCTTCTGACTTTGTGAAGAGCTGACTCACGACGTCAGTCCTTCCTGTGTCCCTGCTCTTCCACTTTGTCCCCTGGGTGGAGTTGGCTCAGTGAAGGAAGTCTGTTGCCCATGCCGTCAATGCCAGAGGTCTTTTCTGGAGGTGCTTGCTGTTGCCACAGTGACTGATGGCTGTCTGGGTGGGGGGGAGCGAGGGCGCGGTCCTTTGGTCTGGACAGTACTGTCTGATGTGCGAGCAGCTGCCCGGGCCTGGGAACCTGCCCAGCTGCTTCATCCTTTCCATCAAGTTTTTAAAAAGTTGAAGGGATTCTGGAATCTTCTTCCTTCTCCTCCTCTTTTTTTTTTTTAATGGAGAGAGAATGAGCAGTGCTGTCTACTCCACACATGAGGTGGGGCCGTTAAACCCTAGCTTGGCAATTTAGCTAGAATTTGAATAATACTTTTCTTATTAGATTTCTGGATCCAAGCAGTTGTCTCTAAGTGTCTTTTTAAAGGAATAACTGTATTTTGAACCCCCCCAATTTTTTTTCCTCATAAGAATATTGACTCTCTTCCTCTAAAATATGTTCAAACACACACAGGCATGAGTTTGTTTTCTTTCAATACAAAAGATTTGAATTTTGCCTTGTTCTTAGTTAGGTGAAAAGTCCTTTTTTTAGGTAACACAAAGTTCCCAGTGGATAATGAACTTTCAAGGTGTATATTGATACTGACTGTTGCCCCCGGCACATGCTGACAATCCACTGTGGACCAGAGGGGCTTCCTGCAGCTTGATGGCAGGACCATGTTCTTAGGGCCTCTGTCTCGCCCGGGCAAGCAGGACTGGAGTGTCAGCCACCCTTCAGTCTGCTCTGGCTGCGACTTGAATCACTTGTCACGTGTGAAGGGTCCAGATCAAGTGCAGTGGCCCCCAAAGTCCTGGAGGTACTTAGGGCAACCTGAGTTAGTAGGTGACATAGGAGGATGCAGAGACATGTAAGGCATCAGGTCACGGACAGGTGCTCGGGGTCACTGTGGGGAGGAAGCCCCCGGGTTCTTTACTGCAGGGGCTTCTCCTTTTCCCTTTCTGACTGTGCTCATCCTGTAGAAGTAGAGATGTACGGGTTCAGGTGGATCATCTGTACCCCTAGTGTGTTCTTTTCTTGGGTTAATGTTAGGTCTTTTTCTGTTTTGTTTTAGGTTATGGAAACAAAGGATATGCTTTACATTGTTACCGAATTTGCAAAAAATGGAGAAATGTTTGGTAAGCCACACTCGTTTTTAATACCCACTGGAACCAAGTGTGCTCACTTGGCAGGACCTGCCCATGTGGTTGGGTCCACTCGTCCTCGGACCCTGTGCCTCCCATCCCCGAGGGCAGCCATGCTGTGCATCTTGGGACACAGCTGCGTTTCCTCGTTCTGCAGACTATTTAACTTCCAACGGACACCTGAGTGAGAATGAGGCGCGGAAGAAGTTCCGGCAGATTCTGTCGGCCGTGGAGTACTGCCACAACCACCACATCGTCCACCGTGACCTCAAGACGGAGAACTTGCTGCTGGACAGCAACATGGACA